GAGACATCAAATGATCCAGCAGCAGGTAGTGACTGAATTTGTCTCTGAATGTCAGACTGACAGTTGAATCTTTGTGGGAAAATTCAGTATCACGTTTAACTTATAAGAATAAATACTTTAGAAACTTCACAGTCTAAAAAAACCACTCAAACATCATCACTACATGTTAGAAAACTGACTGTTTTTATCACATTTGAAATCTTTTGAGTTGAACAAAAATTTGACACCAACATTTTTGTATTATTTTCAGATTGTCTGTATTTGCTGAGATGCATCATCGTGTCTGTGGGTTTAGCAGCACTCTTAATATCTGCTGTTACAGTCAACATGTGGACAAAAACTAAAGGTGAGAACATTCACAGATGAAAGTTTACACATAAAAAGCTTTGAGTTTTACTGTTTGGTGTATGCTTTTTTTTTTGTCATTTCAGGAAACAAAACACAGACTGAAGAAAACACTGTCAGTCTGAACTCTCAATATACTCTAATTTCTGTTACTGTTACTGTGCCAGACCCAGGGGAAATCTGGACCAACAGGAAGCGATACACAGACTAAGGGGCACTGCAAAGCCATTCATATAGAAACTGTGGATTAACAGAGAGGACACCGAAGCTAGTGTCTTGCTTGAGCCGGAGCTCTTTTATTTCTGAGCTACAATTCCCTCATTCACTCATGTACACAGTACAAATCAAATTAATCCCAATTTCTCTAAAAATAAATAAATAAATACATTTCGCTAACAACAGTAAATAAAGTTATTTAAAGCATTCTTACCAAACCCCCCAAAATTTAAATGAATTCAGATAATTAAACCTATATTCACATTTATTTCTGAGCTTAAGGGCTTAAACAGCACCATCTACTGACATAATGAGGTATATAACAGGTCACAATAATAAAAAAAGGGGGAATGATTGATTTTCCAAACATAAACATGTACCATTCTTGAACCTACTGCATTATCTTTAGAAATCTCAAAAATGTAACAAAAATATTAACAGAAAATGGAAAATATCAGAAAAATAGTATCATAATGTATGAATATGAGAGATAATCTACGGTGTGATGCGCTGTTTTCCACAGGTGTCTAATGATGAAGATGAAGGTACAGTGAACTATGAAAACACTGGAGACTCTTCTGCTTCTGTCGGACTCCACTGATCAACAACTTCAACATCAACTGATCACAGAAATGAATCCACTGATGTTTAAAATATTTACATTT